TGTTTGAAAAATACACTAAAATATTGGTGTCACATGAACTTTTGTTGTTAAGTATATGATTTACGAGATGAGCCGTAAGTTTAGACCTGATCCAGGTTCTAACGATTTGCAAAATTGTTTCTCTGTCTCCACCCAATTTGGCATTTGATACCACTTTAAGAATATCGAGTGCTTTCAGACATCTAGCTTCAATATTTTAAATATGAGGTTTAAAAGTTAACTTATGATCAAAGGTAATAACCCAAAACTTGATTTCCTTGACCACTTTTATTGGAATATTATTTAAATTCAATTCTTGATCTGTATGTACCTTCCGTTTGTTGCAAAAATTAACACATCAGGTTTTAGTTTACGAAAGCTTTAAACCGTTTTCTTGAGACTATCTATGTATTTTATTTAGACATAGTTGTAACTGTCTTTCAACGGTATTCATATTGGCACCACAGCATTATATAATAAAATCATCAACAAAAAACAAACCATCAATATTTTCATTTAAGACTTTAGCAAGACTGCTGATTATTATGCTAAAAGTGTCACTGATAAAATGCTGCCCTGAGGGGCCCCCATTTCCTGATCATATGTCTCAGATAATGTGGAGCTCACTCGAACTTTAAATTTTCTATCTTCTAAAAAGCCTCTGATAAAATCAGGCATACGGCTATGTAGGCCCATATTATGGAGATCTTTTAAGATGCCATATGTCCATGTTGTATCGTTTGCCTTCTCTAAACTAAAAACGATTGATACGACATGTTGTTTAATAATAAAACCATTGCGTGCAAATGACTTTAATCTAACGAGATGATCCATGGTGCTCCTCTGATGCCTGAAGCCGGAGTGAATATTAGTTATCAGGTTATTGAATTCCAAATACCGGACAAGACGCCTGTTGATCATTCGGTCCACTTGTTAAAGCAATTGGACGGTAATGAGAAGGATTCGTGTGATCCTCCCCCCCTGGTTTTGGCGCAGGAATGATAATAGCCTCATGCCAAGGAGAAGGAAAATTACCCGATTCCAAAGTATTATTGAAAATGAACAAGAGGGTTAAAAGAGATGACTCAGGTAGATGTTCTCAAGAATTGATAATGGATATCATCTGGCCCAGATGCTGTATCATGAGCTTTGTTTAGAGCCTCTTGCAGTTCACTTAAGGAAAAAGATTCATTGCAGTCTTCAGAATTATCGGATTTGAAATTAAGACTCTTTTTCTGCTGATTTTGATACTTTTGAAATTTAGGATTATATTTGGCAGATGATGAATTTTTATTAATTGTCTCTGCCAGCTTATGAACGATGTCCTTTTTTAATGTAAGTGTATCAGTATCAGCTTTTAAGTTTTGAACACTGCTAGTGGACGCTTTGCCTTTCATTCTTCGTACCATATTCCATACTTTATTGAGTGGAGTACGTGAAGTCAATTTGGAAACAAAATGTCTCCAGCTGCGTATATTTTGCTTGATGGTTCTACCACCTGCTGCTTAAGTGTTTTGCAATCTTCATTGTACCACGGTGTACTTACACGTGGAGTTGTCGAGATTTTAGAGATTGTTTCAGTGGCAATGTTTAGTAAGGTAGCAGAAAACAATTGAGGTTGATCATGATCATTTGTTTTAATTCCTCGAAAATTCCATTGTATTAGTGTAGTATTCATTGTGGGTGTGTTATGGGAGATCGCACCCGACTGTTTTACTTAGGAATATGGCTCCAGGAGCGGTTAGTCTGATGGGGCGACACTTCCATGTCATCTAAAACACCGAACCTGTTGAAAATGGACACAGAGTTTTTGTGTCCTTTTGGAAGACGGTCATTGGAAAATATTTTTTTTCAATAATTCACATTGACATTTTTCTTTTTCCGAAGTGGTGAAGATCGTGACTTAGTTTCAGATGATTTTGATGTAATCTGTAAGGAAGATATTCGGGTGCTGGTTAAGTCTTGAGTTTACGAAAACTCACGGGTGCTTCAGTCTTTACCCAAGTAAATCCAATTTCACAGTCAATAGATGTTATGGATGGTTACGTAGCCTCGCCGTAGCTAGATTTGACTTTCAAGGAAATATTGCTGGATGGTTAAATTGAAGCTGCCAACTTATGTTCTTCGCAGCTTTTATGCGCTGGGTGGTTATTTCGAACGTCTACACTGGACCCACTTTAGAGGAGGACATGTGAGGACCGAAGCAATCAACGTATTTGGATTTAAATTCACATGAGCTGCCATCTTGATCCCCTCCACATCAACGATAACAAACGGCATGTTTTGTACATGTTTTCTGTCCATGGTCAAACTTCTGCCAAATGCCAGTGGGCCCCCAACAGGGATACAAAGAGGGAATACTTAAACAGAAACATTACAAAAAATGAACCACCAGATTGACCCATTAGCCACCGCCTTCTGGGCTTTAAGACACTCGGCAAAATTGCAAATAATTCAACATACAAACATACATATTTAGTTTGAATACAATTTAAGCAGAAGTAACGCACAGGGCTCGGCGCATAGGGACCAGCCGATCGATAGGACCGGGCCCATCCCACCACCCGTCTAGGCAAAGTAAGGGTCGAAGTGGTGTATTGGGCAAAGAAACGCTTTTAGAATAGGAATAATGAATAGATAAATATGATTAACATACAATCAACTATGTACATTTGAAATACTAGGGGAAGTGATTTGAACACGGGGAGTCATTTGGGCCTACTAGGGTGCAATGCTTTGTGTCTGCGCCTTTGCTCTAAATACGCGAGAGTGATCTCAGCCTTGGCCTAAGTTACTTTAGAGTGATCTAAGCCTTAGCCCAAGTCATTCTAGAGTGATTTCAACCTAGGCCCAAGTCACTCTGGAGTGATCTCAACGAAGGCCCAAGTCACTCAAGAGTGATATGAGCCGGGGATTGATTTACGCCTCCACCTAAGGTGTGCTTTCTGCATTTCAAGAGCAAGCATTTCTCTGCACGCGTTTTTTTTTGTTAACAGTGGATCAGACTTATAGTGTTGGCGGGATGGGTTCCTTATCTCTCGGGTATCAGCGGGTGTTAGGTCCCCTGTCTGAAGGCGTCCTGGGTGTAGTTATTTGGTGACCGCAAGTTTGTCCAGTGCTCGGGAGTTATACATGTGTATCTCTGCTTATTTTAGTCCTGCTCAGTGATGTTGTTACCTGCGTGGGAAGCATTCATGCTTTCGGCTACAAACACTCAGAACTAAATTTGATATTGATGATACTTAACTGGTGTAAAGAATAATACCTGTAAAACCTTAAACGGTTACTTTATCTGAACAACTTGGAATAGTACACCATACATGTGTATTTAAAACGAATAACCCTGCATACTATCTTGGAATGATGAGTTTTACAGTTGTAACTCAATAATGAATAAGACTCCATCCTGAGGAAGAACGATTGTTCAAACTTGGAATATAACATCCAGTAATTAATTCAATATTGAGTAACGCTTGATCCGCCCTGTTTAAGAATGGCATTGACGATTGCAGGTGTCCGATTGTCGATCAGGTGAAAATAATAATCTAAATATGTGCATCTAAATGCACTACATGCTTACAGTACCTTAAGCGTTGTGAAACCTCAAACAACCATTACTATGTTTATGTGATCATTCTGGAATATGACTGGTCGACTGTCAAAGTCAACGTCACCATGACAGAGGCTTACAAACAGTTTATGACCAGAAGAACATTATATGTCAGGATACTCCTGGACATACATGATTTCATGGACTTGTTAAATATGCTTTGTTTGACGTTGGTGAGAGTTTAAGGTCACCATAAAACAGAATAACATTATATGCTAGGATATTCTTCAAACTATACATACATAATCTCATAGACAAGGGTCTTGTTAAACTTTTGACTCTTTGTTTGACTTTTGTGAAAGGTCAAGGTCAAGGTCACTATAATTTTAAAAGGCAAGTTCCACATATGAGCAAGACTTCCATAAAATATACCAAAACAAAGAATATGTGTGTGCATTACTTCAATTATATCTACTTCACGATGGTTGATTTATGCTGTGTCTGAATATGCTATTTCTTACATGCAATCGTGCCACTATGGATCCAACTATTTGGAATTAAAGTAAGTGAGTGAGTATGGTTTTAGCAATATTCCAGCAATATGATGAACTGGGCTTCACACATTGTACCTTTATCGGGAATCGAACCCGGGTCCTCGGCGTGACGAGCGAACGCTTTAACCACTAGGCTACGCGACCGGCCCTATTTGGAACTGAAGAAAACAAAACAGATAATAACACGAGCACACATCTAGATATGCAAATACACTATCTGTAGCTGAAGTCACATGATAATATTATGTGCGGCATGGTCATCAGTCCCATGGATATAGTTTAGACTGCATGTCCCCAACCAGTTATTTGTCATACGCTCATCAGTTCTGTCTGTTTGCGTTGGTAAATATCTACTACTGAGCAAATATTGTCGCAGTGGGACCTTTTTATTCTGAATCATGTTACTTAAACAATGTTTGGTAGCAGGAAATACTAGTAACATTGTTCAAGTCTGAAATGTTCACTTGCAAGGTAATGCATTATCATCAAGATAAGAATGTTGTTAAAAACATAATAAGGTAGGCTATAAATTCACTTACTGCAAAGAAAATATTTTACACGAAACAAAGTTTAGATTTGCTCCTTTCCTGTTTTGATCATATGTTGATAAATCCTCAAAATATCATTTTCTTCATTTTAAATAACTTGTAACTTCACCAATGTCACATGTTCTTGTTTGTTTGTTAATATGAACTTATATTCTCAATAAGGATATTATTACGTTGAATTTTGTACAGGAAGACAGTCGTGCTAATAAGCAATACTAACATTTTTTTTCCTGCAGTTTTAAGTGGTGTACGTATCATGCAAGTTTGGCTGTGTCTGCCATGACTTCGAATCAGTTGTCACGAGATGAAAAGAAAAATTATATTGGAAATCCGTAATGCCTCATATGTATTAAATACATTTCCAGATAACCATGTCGGACTACGTATCGGCGTCCTTCATCAAGGACCTCCTCACCGAGTGCCCAATATGTACAAAACACTTTGATGAGGCCAGACGGACACCTCGTCGTATGCCCTGCTGTGTACAGTCAATATGTCAGGCTTGTCTAGAGACGCACAGCAAAGGACTCCTAACGTTATCATGTCCCATGTGTCGACAGCAACATAATCTGGCGGGTGGCGTGAAGTCTCTGCCCAAAGAGCCTATCATCCAAAGAATCCTGGATCATCTGAAGATTGTGAAAGGTCTCCATCTGCCATGTACAGATTGTCCTGATGGTAACCCTGCCATGTCCAGATGTGATGACTGCTGCGTCTTCCTGTGCCAAGAATGTATAAATGCCCACAAAAGACTTCAGTCTATGCGAGATCACAAAACTGTCAGTTTTGATGACATGAGGGAACGACCAGCTGAGAGCTTCTGTCGCCTCCATAAGTGTACACAACATCACCAGCCTCTACAGTTCTACTGCCACACTTGTGACCAGGCCGTCTGTGTGTCTTGCACAGTAGTGGAACATGATAAAGGGAGTGGGCACAACGTTGTGTCTGTTGAAAACGCACATGAAAGTAAGGCTGCTGAAAATGAAGACGTCTTGCAGAGATTAGATGAGAAAGGCAAAGCTCTTGAAAAAGCAGCTGAAGATCTACAAAAGAAATGTGACAACATAAAGTCAACAAGAAGCACTGCCAAAGATGATATCAACAAAGCCTTCACCAATCTGATGGAGGCATTGCAGCAAAGGAAGACTATCATGTTGTCAGAAGTTGATAGAAGGTCAGATGAAGCTCTGAAGCCAGCAGAGGAGGCATTGGATTCCACAGTAACGCTGCTGACTAAAGTGAAGTCTTCTACAGAATACACGAGACAGATGAGAGGCAAAGCTGACAAGATAGAGGATCTACAAGTGATGGGATCTTCAGCTGCCTCTTTGAATTCCATCTTGGCGGAGATACCTAAAGATGTTGGGTTTGCCAGGATTGGAATCAGCTTCGTTTCTGCATGTTTCCAGAAAATAACATCATTGATGCAGATAGCTGGCATTGTGCGAGTAGTATCATTTTCACCTGCTCAGAGACCTGACGACGTCCCTTTGAACAGGATATACAATTCAATCACTCTGGACCAAGGTACTTTGGAACAAGGTAAGTATATCTTAACATTTCTTTTAAAGGTACACACTGTGATAATGTTTGTTTGTTGTTTAATGCCGCACGCAGCAATATTCAACTATATAAAGATCTGTAAATAATCGAGTCTGGACTAGACAATCCAGTGATTATTATCATGAGCATTGATGTACGCAATTGGGATACGATGACATGCATCAACCGAGCCAGACCACCCGATCCCGATAGTCGCCTTTTACCACCAGCATTGGATTCAGAAGATCAATTCTAACCCGGATCTTCACGGGTACTGGGAAAATGTTTGTATGTGAATACAATTGCTCACTAGCCACAGATCAAAGTAGAAGCATAATAGCTTCTATAGTATTTTTAATATGGCTGAAAAGGAAATCAAACGCTTTGGGTGGAAACTTTTAAAGCAGAAGAAAATCTATTTTAGGGAACAACTGCATGAGCTTTTGTAATTTCAAGGAAACATGTCTTGTTTTTGCAACAGTGGTATGTCTAAATTTTACTTCGGGACAGAAATAAATATAATATAACAACATACTTGTAACTAGCTATTCACAAAGTTTGTACTGTATATTCCAAAAGCGAACTACGAGCGAATTGTGTAGTCATCTCAATAAAATTATCTGAAGTTCCTAATTTGAAAATGAAAATTCAATAATACAAATAATTCGCCAAAAGTAACTATAATGGTAGAATGTGAAGCAAAATGTTTCCTTTTACAGCAGCAGCAGCAGAACATATGAACCTGGAGCATGTAGGAGGAGGTAGAATGTATTGTGAGTTGGCAATATATACCTTATCTGTGACACTTCATGTGAACGAGTGAAGTTACTTCAATGGTATTATGCCTTTTTGTGTTTCTTTATGCATTTGAATCGAAATTTCTGCTCGCATTGGCAAAATCAAAACACGGGAATTTGGCCAACATGTTTAACTTAAACTTCAGGTATATTGATGATCTGATAGAGTTCAATAATTGTCATATAGCAAATTTCTCTTCAACTTATTCACCCACCTGAACTAGAGATACAAGCGGCAAGTAAAACCGCCTCGTCTGTATCATATTTGGATCTATGCATAAAGATTCAGAGTGGCAATATGACTGTATGAGAAGAGAGATGAATTCAACTTTCCAATAGTCCACATTCCCTTAATATCGAGCAATGTTCCTGCAGCTCCAATCCACATTTCGCAAATCTTGTGGTACAATAGAGCATGCTCTTTCCACGAAGATTTCATAGAAGGTTATACGACTCTTGCTCAAAAGTCGTTTGACACGGCACAACATTCAAGGCCTTAGTAAGGGTTTCATAAAGTGTTATTATAGACTTCCTTACTTGACGCATCAGTGACAAGAATGATGCATTTCCATATTTTGCTTGTACCATATGCTCCCATGTTCATTAAGGTGAACTCTTGACTTGCCTTTCCACGTGTTTGTGACAGGTGGGGCAGGATACACTCACATTTCGCGAACACCTGGTATCATCACTAGTTGATAGTGATTCGTAAATATAAAAAGTCAGTCCAAGAGAATAACCAGTCTCAATTTTCCAACGGACCAGGTTTCATTGGGCGAAGACCGCATGCTTTTGATATAGTCGGAATCGTGCAGCGGATTCTGCTACTAGAAGAGATTTAGCTGCTGACAAATCAAGGATTCGAACCCACAATCATTGGATCCTGATACGCCTAATACGTCATGGGATCCTTAGACATTATCGGAGAAAAGAATAGACCAGTTACATTCTTGGATTATATAAACATTTCTACTGTACTGAGGATTTATTTAATTCTTATCACCGTTTTGCCATTTGTGCCCTACGGAATCTGTTTCGGCAGATATTCGAAGCTGATAAGTTTCCGACTTCCTGAATTTATGATTATTGTGTTTCATGAAATGCTTATAGACACAAAACGATCCAGCTGTTGACCTTTCTGTTACTCTTAAGAAGTCGGAAAACTCCATCATTATGCATTCGGTTTGGAACATATAATTTCGTTTCCCGTACTCGGCATTAATGATTTGTTTGATACCATGTCCAAGTCCTAATTCATGAACGTCCATTGCATGTGTATTGGAACTGATATCTTTATTGAAGTGTCAAGACGTCTTGCCAGCTATTATGTCCATTAGTGCACATATGAGTTCATTTTCCAAGGGGTGTAGATTAATATTATAAAGCATGTGCATTTTGAAAATTGTGTTCTTTCTACGATTGAATGACTAGATTTTCGAATTGTTATTATGAAATTCTTGTGTTATATATTTCTGTAGTATTGTAAATGCTATTGATTACACTGATGGTAAAGTAAAGGGTCGGCATACATTCATGTGTATCATGTGTAGTGGATTCATGTTATTCTGTTTACTCTAGATGCTGACCCGGAGTGGGACAGCAGCACTGCCAATGCACAGCTGACGGTGTCGGGTTCTGTTGTCACAAATGAAAAGCCTGTTCATCCTCCTCCAGCCTCGAGTTGCCGCCTGCAATCAAACCGTCGTGTTCTTGCGTCAACACCTCTAGTTGTCGGGAAAGGTCAACGCATCATGTGTGCCATGAGGGTCACATTCTCTGTCATAAAGCCAGTAGAAAAAGACAAAGTTATCTTCGAGGTAGCTTTTACTCACAGTCCTATTGAAGCTAACACACTTCAACCAGTAGGATTGAGTGTAACCATAGTAACCTGTTCGAATCATGACGAGTACCTCTGTATCAGGGTGGAATACAATGGGAAATACCTAAGAGACAACACCCTAACTCCAAACAAGTCTGATATACTACACACTCTGGATATCTGTTTCATACTCGATGAAGCCAAAAACACAATCCATGTCCTTGACGTAAGTCACCTGAGAGTCGTCGCGAAGGTTCCTGAGGTTATGTTTAGAGATCCACTGTGGCTGGTGATGTACAGTGGGCTTAAGCGTAACACACGCGTGTCCTGTGAGTTATCGCCAAAGAGAGAAATAGATTTTGAAGACAAAATAAAAAACCTACTCTCAGAGTAACGGTGACTGACCAACTGATTAACAGGGAAATCTTCATTTGTTCGATCATTGTACCAGTGTGCATCAAGTGACAAATTGAACACTGGTTTAACTTGTGTAAATATGGTTATCACATGAAAACATTTACTTATGAGAAACTCAGATCGCCAGAGTTTCATTTATATTATTCACACTACTACTGTGTTTGTGTGAAACAAATTAGCAAAATCATAATGACAAGTTTTATTGCTGGAATCATGGTTGAGCTATCGCCGAAATGTTTGTAACTCACATGCTGACTTTGTTGAGTTAACTATGTCACCCTTAGGTTGTTCTTATAGTCTTACAATGATTATGTTATATACTTAAGCTACACACATAATGCCAACATTTCTCTATGCTTAATTTGCTTTCAAGCTTTTACAAATTTACACCTATTTGGATCAGTAGTATAAGAAATTGACTGATTGAATGTGTAACTGTGGATTGAATGGCTTGTGTATTATCTGTATCTTAATTATGAATGTATTAACCGTGAATAATGTTTTGCTTACTGTTGCTGACTGTTTCTCAAAAAGTTACTTTTCTCAATAAAAGCCATATTCTTATCATATCCAGTAGTTAAATAAACTTATATAGTCGGAGGAAGAGTAGTCAGGAGCTGTCTATGATATTTGACAAACATTTTTTTATTATGCTTGAAAGTTCTATATTATATAAATGAGATTCTTAGACAGATACATATACATACACATATACATATAGCATCGAACATCCCACTGACATTCTGTAATAACCGACCTTTGTTCATAAGTAAATTCTAGGTAATATGTTAAATAATTTCTTACAATGATGGTCACAGCTGAAGATGATTATATGTAAAGACCTCTGTTTCTGATTACTTGGCATACACGATATTTTCTCTCAAAACTGTAAGGGGTATGATTTTTCATATTTTTTAAATGTTTTCTGAAAAGGATAGTAGGTTGAATGAAATAAAGAAAGAAATAGAAAAATGATTTTTAGAACCACAAAGGAAAGAGTTACTTGTTTTCTAAATTGACCTGCATGAAGTTTTATATATCACTGATATTTTGTACTGTAGATATTACTAAATAAAACTGTACAGATTTTATTTAAGGTTTGTTTGTTTTTTAAATGTGATATTCACCTGGACAAATATTTTAGCACTATATATTTCCATATGGACCAGCCATTTATTAAAATCCTATTCTGTATTCATTTTCAGATGAAACTTTACCGTTACACCCTTCTAGTACCAACTTGAGAGCAGGTATTGGTGGGGGTCTTAGATAGTTGTCTTATGTAGATTGCCAAGGTCCATGGAAGCTATAAATACAAGGGGTGGGTGAAATGTTCTGAAACTGAGAAATATGTATTGTTCACCCTTAAGAGTATATATGTATTTAGTACAATGCTTTCCATGCTTACTGGCTGCATTGGAACAAATACAAAACCACGGGCATTCCGTGGGCATTAAACTGTTCTCCGTTGATAAACATGTACCGAATTGGCTACCGTACTGTCATCAAGTAACTCCAACTGAAGAAGAAAAGGGAGAAGAGCCTCTAAGATGATTCAAGCTCGGGAAGACCTTTATCTGCAACCACAAAGGCAAATGTTGATGATGGGCAATGTGATTGTGGATAATCGACGATTCAGCACACGTCACACAGCCGATACATTCGCCATCTCTCATGAAAGAGTTGAGAACACTCTGATGAGTGAACTGGCCATGGCAAAGGTTTCAGCACGCTGGGTTTCATGGCTCCAGACTCCTGATCAGAAACACGTGATCTCGTGAGAAATTACGTCGTTTTTAATCAGACCCAGCTTATTTTGTTGAGATATTTGAAGCCGTGGACGATTTGTGATTTCACCACTATCGGCTAAAGAGTTACGTCTCCTCTTCTGAAGAAATCAGCTGCCAAGGTGATGACTTCGGTTTTGTGGGATGCCAATGGAATCCTAGTGTTGATTACCCCCCGAAAGGTAAGACAATGCAAGGCCAATATTGGGCTGATACTCTCAGGCAACTGCGTGAGAACAGCATTGAACACCGTCCGTATTCAACATATTCGGCACTGTCAAATCATCACCTCTTCAAATATTGAAGAAAGAACTAACTGGCAAGCATTGCGCAATGATGATGACGACATTTCTGCTGTGGATGACGTTTAACACTACCAGGAGGAAGCCATTTTACAACATTGCGGGCACTTCAGCATCGTTGACAGAAGTTTGAGAACCTCGGAGAGGATTAAGTTGAAAAATAGTCTCCATGGGAAAGTGACTCTGTTGACAAATGCCTCAATACACCCAGCAATGAATGCGTGTACCTTGGTGGATGAGATGAATGTCACTTTTATTCAGTGAAAGTTGAGAAAAGTTGAGAAAAGTGATATTTTCATTGCAGTCAACATAACACTCGATATGTCATTGAAGTGAACATAACACTCGATATTTCACTACAGTGAACATACACTGGATATTTCACTGCAGTGAACTTAACACTTGATATTTCACTACAGTGAACGTAACACTTGATATTTCACTGCAGTGAACATAACACTTGATATTTCACTGAAGTGAACTTAACACTTGATATTTCACTGAAGTGAACTTAACACTTGATAATTCACTACAGTGAACGTAACACTTGATATTTCACTGCAGTGAACTTAACACTTGATAATTCACTACAGTGAACGTAACACTTGATATTTCACTGAAGTGAACATAACACTTGATATTTCACTGGGTGATTAATAACAGCAATACAAATATGCACTTAACATTATTTGTTAATGTCTTTACGTTCCTGGAAATATTCTGATAGAAAGAGTTCAATGAAAATAACACATTGCTACTTTGCTTGTAGCAGCGATTTCTTGCAGCCATGAAAAGGTTTTGTCTCCTGTATTATTAAACACTCATGCGGTATCTTATATTTGGTTGTGATTGAAGAATTTCATTTTTTCAGAAGGTTTCAAATATTACATATTGTGAGGATCAAATACTGAATATAACCCGCAAATCTAAGAACAAATGTATCTCATAATAACAACTTTGGAAATAAACTGTATCATGGTGTTGGCTGGTGTAAGCTGAATAAACTGACGGGAAGAGTCAATGTTGATGATCCGCATCCGTGGTTAAGTGGATAGAGCTGAAGGTCCGTGGTCCACGTCATTCTAAAAGATAAGATGTTAACGATGGTAATTGTTGTTTCCCTACCTGCTCTCCGCGTTAAAGTAACACAGAGATAATATTGCAGTCTCACGTGTTACGAAATGAAAAAGATCATTAATTTCATTTTGAGTGTGCTGTTTTATTACAATACACTAAAATAACATTGAAAACAATAGTTGGCCAGTGGCTAAGAGTTCCTATAGCAGCTTTACTAGAAAACTAGAAACGGGATCTGATTTGCAAGGACACAAGGCCGAACTATCATAAACTGAGAAAAATAATTTGAAAAGTGGCTAATACTGTCTTTCACAGTGTTGTCATGACAACTGGTCACTGTGGCGCTGAACTACTAGGATTCGAGGCCGAAATGATGGATTTCCGCTGACAGATATTGGATGACGATTCTGAAACAAACAAGTCTTTGTTACCAAATGATCTCCACGATCATCAACTGTTGAGAAAGGAACATTCGCCAGAGGAAGCTGTTGTGAAAAATAGCCTTGCGGTTTAGACATCATGATGTCTGTCGTCATGTTGTTAAAATATTAACACATATTAAAACATCATCAACACAACACCACACAAGCGCGTGAATTAATGTTCTTATTGGGCCATAAAACAGTTGTCCTGGTGAAGTAGTCTATTTATTTTGTTTGTCTGTTGTTTAACGCCACACACAGCAATATTCCAGCTATATGACGGCGGTCTGTAAATAATCGAGACTGGACCAGACAATACAGAGATTAACATCATGAGCATCGATCTACGCAATTGGGATACGATGACATGCATATCAACCAAGTCAGCGAGCCTGACCACCCGACCCCGTCAGTCGCCGCTTACGACAAGCATAGTCGAATTTTACGGCAAGCATGGGTTGATGAAGACCTATTCTAACCCGTATCTTCACGGATATCCAGTAATTTGAAATATTGACGATGTGCATCAAGAATGCTCTTCATGATAAATGAATCATGATTCAACAAATTGCATTCGATTATAGGCACAAACAAGACTGAACGACATTATCGCTAAATAAATTATGATGTGGTGATACATCACGTATATAATAAGGATATTAGAAATGTATTTCTCCAAAACTAGTAAGGCTACGTTCGTGTACACGTATCTCGTTACCTTTGAGCACCGTGGCCTGATGTTTTTCCTAATAACAAAATAGTTATGTGTACCGTATTCGACGTAATAAGCGCCCCACTCTAATAAGCGCCCACGGCGATATTTGCTAATATTTTGGCTAGTGAACAATCCCAGTTAGCACCCCTTCCGATTGATCAATGTATACAAGACTTATTTTTTCGTGTATAATACGCCCTCGTGTTTTATATGCACCCTTAATTATGGGCAGTTAGATTCTGGAAAATATATCTGTCGTGTATGATACGCACATACATTTCTTTTGTATATCATCAATAATATTTATTTATGTACCATGCAGGGAAACCGCGATTATTAACGTATTATTTTATTTGACAAGTGATTGCTGCTACGTGAATATGCTTAAAAAACACTTCAATAATAGATTTTGTCCCAAACAGTTGATATGAGCAATCAAGCCCATGGCATTTCCTTATGAGGGCTCAGTGTCATGCCACCTTTTTAAAGAAGACAATTTGCTTTTGGCGATTAAATGACAACCATTGTGTTACTAGGACAACGAAGAAGCTACGATTCTGTGAAGCAAGAAAATATAACCGGTTAAAACTATATCCATATGTAGCTTATTATTTATAAAATACGGACGCAAAGGTAGGTAGCGCAAACAACACGATAAACCATTCAGGGCTGGTGGATGTCATCTAGGATATAAAAACACCAGTCAGTATCCATGGAAACTCGATGAAAGAAAGACCTCTTGAATATGCAGTAGTTTATTTAAATTTTATGTCATGTTTGATATTCAGGGTGATATATGTGAGAGACAGTACAGCGTTCATGGAATGGTATCAGATCTGTTCACTCAGCTCCACTCTGTACACCGCCTGTATCTATGGGGCTACATTAAGCATTAAACTGGTGTTTTTCTGCTGGCAGATACTGGATAAGGATTCTGAAACAAAGAAAATGTAGCCTTGTTGACTGTTGTTTCCATCTTTCAAGTCAGGTCTCTGTTGGTCTGGTCTTTGGACATGTCCGCACTATACTTAACGTGTGATAGGGAAGGCTATAGTTTGTGACTGAAGTGTTTGTTCGTCACAGTGAAGACCCAGATTCTATTCCCCTTGTTGTCTATTTTTTGTACCTCCCGCCTTGATATTGATAAAATACCGCTAAAGCGGAGTAAAACCTAACTCACTAACTCTATGTTTTAAGATGTGTGAGGTGAGGGCTTAATGTCGCGTTCAGGATTATTGTACTTATTATTGCACTATTATTGTGCGTGTGCGTGTGTGTGTGTGTGTGTGTGTGTGTGTGTGTGTGCGTGTGTGTATGTACTAGTCCGGAATGATGCCGATTTTATAGTGCTAGCCCATTGAGATACCATGCCACAGTTGAACATGAATACCCCACTCAAACACAGTATACTCCGAGCCGACCAGTCCTTGTTTTAGCCCCTTAATGCAGAGCGCCAGACAGGGTATGAACGCCAGACGTCGTTCGGTATGACGCGTTCGGGGATCGAACCGCGGACCTTCTGCTCTCCGGGCGGACGCTCTACCACTAGACCACGGAGGCGGTCCTTTATTTTTGAGCGAATGGACACAACAAATACAACGATGTACGTTGTATCTGTTTATGACAACAAGTTACGCAACAGGAATAAAAAATATGCGAGGAAAATACACATCTCAAAATATTGTCAAGATATTTAGTCTCCGTGAAGGAGAGCGCCCTTCCAACGTGGCAGTTACTGCTTGCCCTTCTTTTAACACAGATGATAGTGAGTGAGTGAGTACCCGGGTC